GCATGCGTCCGGACACAAGCATGCGACCGGACTCAAGCATGCGTCCAGACACAAGCATGCGTCCGGACATAAGCATGCGTCCGGACACAAGCATGCGTCCGGACACAAGCATGCGTCCGGACACAAGCATGCGTCCGGACACAAGCATGCGACCGGGCACAAGCATGCGTCCGGACACAAGCATGCGTCCGGACACAAGCATGCGTCCGGACACAAGCATGCGACCGGACTCAATCATGCGTACGGACACAAGCATGCGTCCGGACACAAGCATGCGTCAGGACACAAGCATGCGTCCGGACACAAGCATGCGTCCGGACACAAGCATGCGTCCGGACACGAGCATGCGACCGTACTCAAGCATGCGTCCGGACACAAGCATGCGTCCGGACACAAGCATGCGTCCGGACACAAGCATGCGACCGGACTCAAGCATGCTTCCGGACACAAGCATGCGTCCGGACTCAAGCATGCGTCCGGACACAAGCATGCGACCGGACTCAAGCATGCGTCCGGACACAAGCATGCGTCCGGACACAAGCATGCGTCCGTACACAAGCATGCGTCCGGACACAAGCATGCGTCCGGACACAAGCATGCGACCGGACTCAAGCATGCGTCCAGACACAAGCATGCGTCCGGACACAAGCATGCGTTCGGACACAAGCATGCGTCCGGACGCAAGCATGCGTCCGGACACAAGCATGCGACTGGACTCAAGCATGCGTCCGGACACAAGCATGCGTCCGGACACAAGCATGCGTCCGGACACAAGCATGCGACCGGACTCAAGCATGCGTCCGGACACAAGCATGCGTCCGGACACAAGCATGCGACCGGACTCAAGCATGCGTCCGGACACAAGCATGCGTCCGGACACAAGCATGCGACCGGACTCAAGCATGCGTCCGGACACAAGCATGCATCCGGACACAAGCATGCGTCCGGACACGAGCATGCGTCCGGACACGAGCATGCGACCGGACTCAAGCATGCGTCCTGACACAAGCATGCGTCCGGACACAAGCATGCGACCGGACTCAAGCATGCGTCCGGACACAAGCATGCGACCGGACACAAGCATGCGTCCGGACACAAGCATGCGTCCGGACACAAGCATGCGACCGGACTCAAGCATGCGGTCGGACAAAAGCATGCGACCGGACACAAGCATGCGTCTGGACACAAGCATGCGACCGGACTCAAGCATGCGTCCGGACACAAGCATGCGTCCGGACACAAGCATGCGTCTGGACACAAGCATGCGACCGGACACAAGCATGCGTCCGGACACAAGCATGCGACCGGGCACAAGCATGCGTCCAAACACAAGCATGCGTACGGACTCAAGCATGCGTCCGGACACAAGCATGCGTCCGGACACAAGCATGCGTCCGGACACAACCATGCGACCGGACACAAGCATGCGTCCGGACACAAGCATGCGTCCGGACACAAGCATGCGTCCGAACACAAGCATGCGTCCGGACACAGGCATGCGACCGGACACAAGCATGCGACCGGGCACAAGCATGCGTCCGGACACAAGCATGCGTCCGGACACAAGCATGCGACCGGACACAAGCATGCGTCCGGACACAAGCATGCGTCCGGACACAAGCATGCGTCCAGACACAAGCATGCGTCCGGACACAAGCATGCGACCGGACTCAAGCATGCGTCCAGACACAAGCATGCGTCCGGACACAAGCATGCGTCCGGACACAAGCATGCGTCCGGACACAAGCATGCGTCCAGACACAAGCATGCGACCGGACTCAAGCATGCGTCCGGACACAAGCATGCGTCCGGACACAAGCATGCGTCCGGACACAAGCATGCGTCCGGACACAAGCATGCGACCGGACTCAAGCATGCGTCCAGACACAAGCATGCGTCCGGACACAAGCATGCGTCCGGACACAAGCATGCGTCCGGACACAAGCATGCGTCCGTACACAAGCATGCGTCCGGACACAAGCATGCGACCGGGCACAAGCATGCGTCCGGACACAAGCATGCGACCGGACACAAGCATGCGTCCGGACACAAGCATGCGACCGGACTCAAGCATGCGTCCGGACACAAGCATGCGTCCGGACACAAGCATGCGTCCGGACACAAGCATGCGTCCGGACACAAGCATGCGTCCGGACACAAGCATGCGTCCGGACACAAGCATGCGACCGTACTCAAGCATGTGTCCGGACACAAGCATGCGTCCGGACACAAGCATGCGACTGGACTCAAGCATGCTTCCGGACACAAGCATGCGTCCGGACTCAAGCATGCGTCCGGACACAAGCATGCGACCGGACTCAAGCATGCGTCCGGACACAAGCATGCGTCCGAACACAAGCATGCGTCCGGACCCAAGCATGCGTCCGGACACAAGCATGCGTCCGGACACAAGCATGCGTCCGGACACAAGCATGCGTCCGGACACAAGCATGCGTCCGGACACAAGCATGCGTCCGGACACAAGCATGTATCCGGACACAAGCATGCGTCCGGACACAAGCATGTGTCCGGACACAAGCATGCGTCCGGACACAAGCATGCGTCCGGACACAAGCATGCGTCCGGACACAAGCATGCGTCCGGACTCAAGCATGCGTCCGGACACAAGCATGCGTCCGGACTCAAGCATGCGTCCGGACACATGCATGCGTCCGGACACATGCATGCGTCCAGACCCAAGCATGCGTCCGGACACAAGAATGCGTCCGGACACAAGCATGCGTCCGGACACAAGCATGCGTCCGGACCCAAGCATGCGTCCGGACACAAGCATGCGTCCGGACACAAGCATGCGTCCGGACACAAGCATGCGTCCGAACAAAAGCATGCGTCCGGACACAAGCATGCGTCCGGCCACAAGCATGCGTCCGGACACAAGCATGCGTCCGGACACAAGCATGCGACCGGACACAAGCATGCGTCCGGACACAAGCATGCGACCGGGCACAAGCATGCGTCCAAACACAAGCATGCGTCCGGACACAAGCATGCGTCTGGACACAAGCATGCGACCGTACTCAAGCATGCGTCCGGACACAAGCATGCGTCCGGACTCAAGCATGCATCCGGACACAAGCATGCGACCGGACACAAGAATGCGTCCGGACACAAGCATGCGTCTGGACACAAGCATGCGTCCGGACACAAGCATGCGTCCGGACACAAGCATGCGACCGGACTCAAGCATGCGGTCGGACACAAGCATGCGACCGGACACAAGCATGCGTTCGGACACAAGCATGCGTCCGGACACAAGCATGCGTCCGGACTCAAGCATGCATCCGGACACAAGCATGCGACCGGACACAAGAATGCGTCCGGACACAAGCATGCGTCTGGACACAAGCATGCGTCCGGACACAAGCATGCGTCCGGACACAAGCATGCGACCGGACTCAAGCATGCGGTCGGACACAAGCATGCGACCGGACACAAGCATGCGTTCGGACACAAGCATGCGTCCGGACACAAGCATGCGTCCGGACACAAGCATGCGTCCGGACACAAGCATGCGTCCGGACACAAGCATGCGTCCGGACACAAGCATGCGTCCGGACACGAGCATGCGACCGTACTCAAGCATGCGTCTGGACACAAGCATGCGTCTGGACACAAGCATGCGTCTGGACACAAGCATGCGTCTGGACACAAGCATGCGTCTGGACACAAGCATGCGTCCGGACACAAGCATGCGTCCGGACACAAGCATGCGACCGGACTCAAGCATGCGGTCGGACACAAGCATGCGACCGGACACAAGCATGCGTTCGGACACAAGCATGCGTCCGGACACAAGCATGCGTCCGGACTCAAGCATGCATCCGGACACAAGCATGCGACCGGACACAAGAATGCGTCCGGACACAAGCATGCGTCTGGACACAAGCATGCGTCCGGACACAAGCATGCGTCCGGACACAAGCATGCGACCGGACTCAAGCATGCGGTCGGACACAAGCATGCGACCGGACACAAGCATGCGTTCGGACACAAGCATGCGTCCGGACACAAGCATGCGTCCGGACACAAGCATGCGTCCGGACACAAGCATGCGTCCGGACACAAGCATGCGTCCGGACACAAGCATGCGACCGGACTCAAGCATGCTTCCGGACACAAGCATGCGTCCGGACTCAAGCATGCGTCCGGACACAAGCATGCGACCGGACTCAAGCATGCGTCCGGACACAAGCATGCGTCCGGACACAAGCATGCGTCCGTACACAAGCATGCGTCCGGACACAAGCATGCGTCCGGACACAAGCATGCGACCGGACTCAAGCATGCGTCCGGACACAAGCATGCGTCCGGACACAAGCATGCGTTCGGACACAAGCATGCGTCCGGACACAAGCATGCGTCCGGACCCAAGTATGCGTCGGGACCCAAGCATGCGTCCGGACACAAGCATGCGTCCGGACACAAGCATGCGTCCGGACCCAAGCATGCGTCCGGACACAAGCATGCGTCCGGACAGAAGCATGCGTCCGGACACAAGCATGCGTCCGGACAAAAGCATGCGTCCAGACACAAGCATGCATCCGGACACAAGCATGCGTCCGGACACAAGCATGCGTCCGGACACAAGCATGCGTCCGGACCCAAGCATGCGTCCGGACACAAGAATGCGTCCGGACACAAGCATGCGTCCGGACACAAGCATGCGTCCGGACCCAAGCATGCGTCCGGACACAAGCATGCATACGAACACAAGCATGCGTCCGGACACAAGCATGCGTCCGAACAAAAGCATGCGTCCGGACACAAGCATGCGTCCGGCCACAAGCATGCGTCCGGACACAAGCATGCGTCTGGACACAAGCATGCGACCGGACACAAGCATGCGTCCGGACACAAGCATGCGACCGGGCACAAGCATGCGTCCAAACACAAGCATGCGTCCGGACACAAGCATGCGTCTGGACACAAGCATGCGACCGGACTCAAGCATGCGCCCGGACACAAGCATGCGTCCGGACTCAAGCATGCATCCGGACACAAGCATGCGACTGGACACAAGAATGCGTCCGGACACAAGCATGCGTCTGGACACAAGCATGCGTCCGGACACAAGCATGCGTCCGGACACAAGCATGCGACCGGACTCAAGCATGCGGTCGGACACAAGCATGCGACCGGACACAAGCATGCGTTCGGACACAAGCATGCGTCCGGACACAAGCATGCGTCCGGACTCAAGCATGCATCCGGACACAAGCATGCGACCGGACACAAGAATGCGTCCGGACACAAGCATGCGTCTGGACACAAGCATGCGTCCGGACACAAGCATGCGTCCGGACACAAGCATGCGACCTGACTCAAGCATGCGGTCGGACACAAGCATGCGACCGGACACAAGCATGCGTTCGGACACAAGCATGCGTCCGGACACAAGCATGCGTCCGGACACAAGCATGCGTCCGGACACAAGCATGCGTCCGGACACAAGCATGCGTCCGTACACAAGCATGCGTCCGGACACAAGCATGCGTCCGGACACAAGCATGCATCCGGACACAAGCATGCGTCCGGACACAAGCATGCGTCCGGACACAAGCATGCGTCTGGACACAAGCATGCGCCCAGACACAAGCATGCGTCCGGACAAAAGAATGCGACCGAACACAAGCATGCGACCGGACTCAAGCATGCGACCATGTCCACGTCCATGTCCACGTCCACGTCCACGTCCATGTCCACGTCCAAGTCCACGTCCACGTCCACGTCCATGTCCACGTCCACGTCCATGTCCATGTCCACGTCCACGTCCACGTCCACGTCCACGTCCACGTCCACGTCCACGTCCATGTCCACGTCCATGTTCACATACATGTCCACGTCCACGTCCATGTCCACGTCCACGTCCACGTCCATGTCCACGTCCACGTCCACGTCCACGTCCACGTCCACGTCCATGTCCACGTCCACGTCCACGTCCATGTCCACGTCCACGTCCACGTCCACGTCCACGTCCACGTCCATGTCCACGTCCACGTCCACGTCCATGTCCACGTCCACGTCCACGTCCACGTCCACGTCCACGTCCACGTCCAAGTCCACGTCCACGTCCACGTCCACGTCCATGTCCACGTCAGTCCACGTCCACGTCCATGTCCACGTCGTCCACGTCCACGTCCACGTCCACGTCCACGTCCACGTCCACCTCTACGTCCACGTCCACGTCCACGTCCATGTCCACGTCCATGTCCACGTCAGTCCACGTCCATGTCCACGTCCACGTCCACGTCCATGTCCACGTCCACGTCTACGTCCATGTCCACGTCCATGTCCACGTCCACGTCCACGTCCACGTCCACGTCCACGTCCATGTCCACGTCAGTCCTCGTCCACATCCATGTCCACATCGTCCACGTCCATGTCCACGTCCACGTCCACGTCCATGTCCACGTCCACGTCCATGTCCACGTCCACGTCCATGTCCACGTCCATGTCCACGTCCACGTCCACGTCCATGTCCACGTCCACGTCCATGTCCACGTCCACGTCCACGTCCACGTCCACGTCCAAGTCCACGTCCACGTCCTCGTCCACGTCCACCTCCACGTCCACCTCCACGTCCACCTCCACGTCCACGTCCACGTCCACCTCCACGTCCACGTCCACCTCCACGTCCACCTCCACGTCCACCTCCACGTCCACGTCCACGTCCAAGTCCACGTCCACCTCCACGTCCACCTCCACGTCCACGTCCACGTCCACGTCCACGTCCACGTCCACGTCCACCTCCACGTCCACGTCCACGTCCACGTCCACCTCCACGTCCACCTCCACGTCCACGTCCACCTCCACGTCCACGTCCACCTCCACGTCCACCTCCAGGTCCACGTCCACGTCCAGGTCCACGTCCACGTCCACGTCCACGTCCACGTCCACGTCCACCTCCACGTCCACCTCCACGTCCACGTCCACGTCCACGTCCACGTCCACGTCCACGTCCACGTCCACCTCCACGTCCACGTCCACGTCCACGTCCACGTCCACCTCCACGTCCACGTCCACGTCCACGTCCACGTCCACCTCCACGTCCACCTCCACCTCCACGTCCATCTCCACCTCCACGTCCACGTCCACCTCCACGTCCACGTCCACCTCCACGTCCAGGTCCACGTCCACGTCCACCTCCACGTCCACGTCCACGTCCACGTCCACGTCCACGTCCACGTCCACGTCCACGTCCACCTCCACGTCCACCTCCACGTCCACGTCCACCTCCACGTCCACCTCCACGTCCACGTCCACGTCCACGTCCACCTCCACGTCCACGTCCACGTCCACGTCCACGTCCACGTCCACGTCCACGTCCACGTCCACGTCCACGTCCACGTCAGTCCACGTCCACGTCCACGTCCACGTCCACGTCCACGTCCACGTCCACGTCTACGTCCATGTCCACGTCCACGTCCACGTCCACGTCCACGTCCACGTCCACGTCCACGTCCACGTCCACGTCCATGTCCACGTCAGTCCACGTCCACGTCCACGTCCATGTCCACGTCAGTCCACGTCCACGTCCACGTCCACGTCCACGTCCATGTCCACGTCCACGTCCACGTCCACGTCCACGTCCATGTCCACGTCCACGTCCACGTCCACGTCCACGTCCACGTCCATGTCCACGTCCACGTCTACGTCCACGTCCACGTCCACGTCCACGTCCACGTCCACGTCCACGTCCACGTCCACGTCCACATCCATGTCCACGTCGTCCACGTCCACGTCCACGTCCACGTCCATGTCCACGTCCACGTCCACGTCCACGTCCACGTCCACGTCCACGTCCACGTCCATGTTCACGTACATGTCCACGTCCACGTCCATGTCCACGTCCACGTCCATGTCCACGTCCACGTCCACGTCCACGTCCACGTCCACGTCCACGTCCATGTCCACGTCCACGTCCACGTCCACGTCCACGTCCACGTCCACGTCCTCGTCCACGTCCACGTCCTCGTCCACGTCCACGTCCTCGTCCACGTCCACGTCCACCTCCACGTCCACGTCCACGTCCACGTCCACGTCCACCTCCACGTCCACGTCCACGTCCACGTCCACGTCCACCTCCACGTCCACCTCCACGTCCACCTCCACGTCCACCTCCACGTCCACCTCCACGTCCACCTCCACGTCCACCTCCACGTCCACCTCCACGTCCACGTCCACGTCCACGTCCACGTCCACGTCCACGTCCACGTCCACCTCCACGTCCACCTCCACGTCCACGTCCACGTCCACCTCCACGTCCACGTCCACCTCCACGTCCACGTCCACCTCCACGTCCACGTCCACCTCCACGTCCATCTCCACCTCCACGTCCACGTCCACCTCCACGTCCACGTCCACCTCCACGTCCACCTCCACCTCCACCTCCACGTTCACCTCCACGTCCACGTCCACCTCCACGTCCACGTCCACCTCCACGTCCACGTCCACGTCCACGTCCACGTCCACGTCCACGTCCACGTCCACGTCCATGTCCACATCCACGTCCACATCCACGTCCACGTCCACGTCCACGTCCAAGTCCACGTCCACGTCCACGTCCACGTCCACGTCCACGTCCACGTCCACGTCCACACGTCCACGTCCACGTCGACGTCCATGTCCACGTCCACGCCCACGTCCACGCCCACGTCCACCTCCACGTCCACCTCCACGTCCACGTCCACGTCCACGTCCACCTCCACGTCCACCTCCACGTCCACGTCCAAGTCCACGTCCACGTCCACGTCCACGTCCACGTCCACGTCCACGTCCACGTCCACGTCCACGTCCACGTCCACGTCCACACGTCCACGTCCATGTCGACGTCCATGTCCACGTCCACGCCCACGTCCACGCCCACGTCCACCTCCACGTCCACCTCCATGTCTACGTCCACCTCCACGTCCACCTCCACGTCCACCTCCACGTCTACGTCCACCTCCACGTCCACCTCCACGTCCACCTCCACGTCCACCTCCACGTCCACGTCCACCTCCACGTCCACCTCCACGTCCACGTCCACGTCCACGTCCACGTCCACGTCCACGTCCACCTCCACGTCCACGTCCACGTCCACGTCCACGTCCATGTCCACGTCCACGTCCACGTCCACGTCCACGTCCACGTCCACGTCCACGTCCACGTCCACGTCCACGTCCACGTCCACGTCCACGTCCACACGTCCACGTCCATGTCGACGTCCATGTCCACGTCCACCTCCACCTCCACCTCCACGTCTACGTCCACGTCCACGTCCACGTCCACGTCCACGTCCATGTCCACGTCCACGTCCACGTCCATGTCTACGTCCATGTCCACGTCCACGTCCACGTCCACGTCCAAGGCCACGTCCATGTCCACCTCCATGTCCACGTCCACGTCCACGTCCACGTCCAAGTCCACGTCCACGGCCACGTCCATGTCTTCGTCCATGTCCACGTCCACGTCCAAGTCCACGTCCATGTCCACGTCCACGTCCACGTCCACGTCCACGTCCACGTCCACGTCCACGTCCACGTCCACGTCCATGTCTACGTCCACGCCCACGTCCATATCCACGTCCACCTCCACGTCCACCTCCACGTCCACCTCCACGTCCACGTCCACGTCTACGTCCACCTCCACGTCCACCTCCACGTCCACGTCCACGTCCACGTCCACGTCCACGTCCACGTCCACGTCCACGTCCACGTCCACGTCCACGTCCACGTCCACAACCACGTCCACGTCCACGTCCACACGTCCACGTCCATGTCCACGTCCATGTCCACGTCCACCTCCACCTCCACCTCCACGTCTACGTCCACGTCCACGTCCACGTCCACGTCCACGTCCACGTCCACGTCCATGTCCACGTCCACGTCCACGTCCATGTCTACGTCCATGTCCACGTCCACGTCCACGTCCACGTCCAAGGCCACGTCCATGTCCACGTCCATGTCCACGTCCACGTCCACGTCCACGTCCAAGTCCACGTCCACGGCCACGTCCATGTCTTCGTCCATGTCCACGTCCACGTCCAAGTCCACGTCCATGTCCACGTCCACGTCCACGTCCACGTCAACGTCCACGTCCACGTCCACGTCCATGTCCACGTCCATGTCGACGTCCATGTCCACGTCCATGTCCACGTCGATGTCCACGTCCATGTCCATGTCCATGTCCACGTCCATGTCCACGTCCACGTCCATGTCCACGTCCACGTCCACGTCCATGTCCACGTCCACGTCCACGTCCACGTCCACGTCCACCTCCACGTCCACGTCCACGTCCACCTCCACGTCCACGTCCACCTCCACGTCCACGTCCACCTCCACGTCCACGTCCACCTCCACGTCCACGTCCACCTCCACGTCCATCTCCACCTCCACGTCCACGTCCACCTCCACGTCCAGGTCCACCTCCACGTCCACGTCCACGTCCACCTCCACGTCCACGTCCACCTCCACGTCCACGTCCACGTCCACGTCCACCTCCACGTCCACGTCCACGTCCACGTCCACGTCCATGTCCACGTCCATGTCCACGTCCACGTCCACGTCCACGTCCACGTCCACGTCCACGTCCATGTCCACGTCCACGTCCACGTCCACGTCCACGTCCACGTCCACGTCCACCTCCACGTCTACGTCCACGTCCACGTCCACGTCCACCTCCACGTCCACGTCCACCTCCACGTCCACGTCCACCTCCACGTCCACGTCCACCTCCACGTCCATCTCCACCTCCACGTCCACGTCCACCTCCACGTCCACGTCCACCTCCACGTCCACCTCCACGTCCACCTCCACGTCCACGTCCACGTCCACGTCCATGTCCACGTCCATGTCCACGTCCACGTCCACGTCCACGTCCAAGTCCACGTCCATGTCCACGTCCAGGTCCACGTCCACGTCCACCTCCACGTCCACCTCCACGTCCACCTCCACGTCCACCTCCACGTCCACGTCCACGTCCACGTCCACCTCCACGTCCACCTCCACGTCCACCTCCACGTCCACCTCCACGTCCACGTCCACGTCCACGTCCACCTCCACGTCCACGTCCACCTCCACGTCCACGTCCACGTCCACGTCCACGTCCACGTCCACGTCCACGTCCACGTCCACGTCCACGTCCACACGTCCACGTCCATGTCGACGTCCATGTCCACGTCCACCTCCACCTCCACCTCCACGTCTACGTCCACGTCCACGTCCACGTCCACGTCCATGTCCACGTCCACGTCCACGTCCATGTCTACGTCCATGTCCACGTCCAAGTCCACGTCCATGTCCACGTCCACGTCCACGTCCACGTCCACGTCCAAGTCCACGTCCATGTCCACGTCCACGTCCACGTCCACGTCCACGTCCATGTCCACGTCCATGTCGACGTCCATGTCCACGTCCATGTCCACGTCCATGTCCACGTCCATGTCCATGTCCATGTCCACGTCCATGTCCACGTCCACGTCCACGTCCACGTCCACGTCCATGTCCACGTCCACGTCCACGTCCATGTCCACGTCCACGTCCACGTCCAAGTCCACGTCCACGTCCATGTCCACGTCCACGTCCACGTCCACGTCCACGTCCATGTCCACGTCCATGTCGACGTCCATGTCCACGTCCACCTCCACGTCCACCTCCACGTCCACGTCCACGTCCACCTCCACGTCGACCTCTACGTCCACGTCCACGTCCATGTCCACGTCCATGTCCACGTCCACGTCCACGTCCACGTCCACGTCCATGTCGACGTCCATGTCCACGTCCATGTCCACCTCCACCTCCACGTCCACCTCCACGTCCACGTCCACGTCCACGTCCACGTCCACGTCCATGTCCACGTCCACGTCCATGTCCACGTCCACGTCCCTGTCCACGTCCACGTCCATGTCCACGTCCACGTCCACGTCCACGTCCACGTCCATGTCCACGTCCACGTCCATGTCCACGTCCACGTCCACGTCCACGTCCACGTCCACGTCCATGTCCACGTCCACGTCCACGTCCCTGTCCACGTCCACGTCCATGTCCACGTCCATGTCTACGTCCACGTCCACGTCCACCTCCACGTCCACGTCCCTGTCCACGTCCACGTCCATGTCCATGTCCACGTCCTCCACGTCCATGTGCACGTCCACGTCCACGTCCACGTCCACGTCCATGTCCACGTCCACGTCCACGTGGTCCACGTCCACGTCCACGTCCACGTCCATGTCCACGTGCACGTCCATGTCCACGTCCATGTCCACGTCCACGTCCATGTCCATGTCCACGTCCACGTCCACGTCCATGTCCACGTCCATGTCCACGTCCACGTCCACGTCCACGTCCACGTCCATGTCCACGTCCATGTCGACGTCCATGTCGACGTCCATGTCCACGTCCACCTCCACGTCCACGTCCACGTCCACGTCCACCTCCACGTCCACGTCCACGTCCATTTCTACGTCCACGTCCACGTCCACGTCCATGTCCACGTCCATGTCCACGTCCACGTCCACGTCCACGTCCATGTCGACGTCCATGTCCACGTCCATGTCCACCTCCACCTCCACGTCCACCTCCACGTCTACGTCCACGTCCACGTCCACGTCCATGTCCACGTCCACGTCCATCTCCACGTCCACCTCCACGTCCACGTCCCTGTCCACGTCCACGTCCATGTCCACGTCCACGTCCTCCACGTCCATGTCCACGTCCACGTCCACGTCCACGTCCACGTCGATGTCCACGTCCACGTCCATGTCCACGTCCACGTCCATGTCCACGTCCACGTCCACATCCACGTCCACGTCCACGTCCACGTCCATGTCCACGTGCACCTCCACGTCCACGTGCACCTCCACGTCCACGTCCATGTCCACGTCCACGTCCACGTGCACGTCCATGTCCACGTCCATGTCCACGTCCACGTCCACGTGGTCCACGTCCACGTCCACGTGGTCCACGTCCACGTGGTCCACGTCCACGTCCACGTCCACGTCCATGTCCACGTGCACGTCCATGTCGACGTCCATGTCCACGTCCACGTCCATGTCCACGTCCACGTCCACGTCCATGTCCATGTCCACGTCCACGTCCACGTCCATGTCCACGTCCATGTCCACGTCCACGTCCACGTCCATGTCCACGTCCACATCCACGTCCACGTCCATGTCCACATCCACCTCCACGTCCACGTCCATGTCCACGTCCACGTCCATGTCCATGTCCACCTCCATGTCCACGTCCATGTCCACGTCCACCTCCACGTCCACCTCCACGTCCACGTCCACGTCCACCTCCACGTCCACATCCCTGTCCACGTCCACGTCCATGTCCACGTCCACGTCCTCCACGTCCATGTGCACGTCCACGTCCACGTCCACGTCCATGTCCACGTCCACGTCCACGTGGTCCACGTCCACGTCCACGTCCACGTCAACGTCCATGTCCACGTGCACGTCCATGTCCACGTCCATGTCCACGTCCACGTCCATGTCCACGTCCACGTCCACGTCCACGTCCATGTCCACGTCCATGTCCACGTCCACGTCCACGTCCACGTCCACGTCCACGTCCATGTCCACGTCCATGTCGACGTCCATGTCGACGTCCATGTCCACGTCCACCTCCAGGTCCACGTCCACGTCCACGTCCACCTCCACGTCCACGTCCACGTCCATTTCTACGTCCACGTCCACGTCCACGTCCACGTCCACGTCCACGTCCATGTCCACGTCCATGTCCACGTCCACGTCCACGTCCACGTCCATGTCGACGTCCATGTCCACGTCCATGTCCACCTCCACCTCCACGTCCACCTCCACGTCTACGTCCACGTCCACGTCCACGTCCATGTCCACGTCCACGTTCATGTCCACGTCCACGTCCACGTCCACGTCCACGTCCACATCCACGTCTATGTCCACGTCCACGTCCACCTCCACGTCCACGTCCACGTCCATGTCCACATCCACGTCACGTCCACGTCCCTGTCCACGTCCACGTCCATGACCACGTCCACGTCCTCCACGTCCATGTCCACGTCCACGTCCACGTCCACGTCCACCGTGGACATGGACGTGGACTTGGACGTGGACGTGGACGTGGACGTGGACATGGACGTGGACGTGGACGTGGACGTGGACATGGACGTGGACATGGACGTGGACGTAGACGTGGACGTGGACATGGACGTGGACATGGACGTGGACATGGACGTGGACGTGGACGTGGACGTGGACTTGGACGTGGACGTGGACGTGGACGTGGACGTGGAGGTGGACGTGGACATGGACGTGGACGTGGACGTGGACGTGGACGTGGACGTGGACATGGACGTGGACATGGACGTGGACGTGGACATGGACGTGGACGTGGACGTGGACATGGACGTGGATGTGGACATGGACGTGGACGTCGAGATGGACGTGGACGTGGACATGGACATGGACGTAGAAATGGACGTGGACGTGGACGTAGACATGGACGTGGACGTAGACGTGGACATGGACGTGGACGTGGACGTGGACGTGGACATGGACGTGGACATGGACGTGGACGTGGACGTGGACGTAGAAATGGACGTGGACGTGGACGTGGACGTGGACATGGACGTGGACATGGACGTGGACGTGGACGTGGACGTAGAAATGGACGTGGACGTAGAAATGGACGTGGATGTGGACGTAGACGTGGACGTGGACGTGGACGTAGAAATGGACGTGGACATGGACGTGGACGTGGACATGGACATGGACGTGGACGTGGACGTGGACATGGACGTGGACATGGACATGGAGGTGGACGTGGACGTGGACGTGGACGTGGACATGGACGTGGACGTGGACGTGGACGTGGACGTAGAAATGGACGTGGACGTGATCGTGGACGTGGACATGGACGTGGACGTGGACATGGACGTGGACGTAGAAATGGACGTGGACGTGGACGTGGACATGGACGTGGACGTAGACGTGGACGTGGACGTGGACGTAGACGTGGACGTGGACGTGGACGTGGACGTGGACGTGGACATGGACGTGGACGTGGACATGGACATAGACGTGGACGTGGACGTGGACATGGACGTGGACGTGGACGTGGACGTGGACATGGACGTGGACGTGGACGTGGACATGGACGTGGATGTGGACATGGACGTGGACGTCGAGATGGACGTGGACGTGGACATGGACATGGACGTAGAAATGGACGTGGACGTGGACGTAGACATGGACGTGGACGTAGACGTGGACGTGGACGTGGACGTGGACGTGGACGTGGACATGGACGTGGACATGGACGTGGACGTGGACGTGGACGTAGAAATGGACGTGGACGTGGACGTGGACGTGGACATGGACGTGGACATGGACGTGGACGTGGACGTGGACGTAGAAATGGACGTGGACGTAGAAATGGACGTGGATGTGGACGTAGACGTGGACGTGGACGTGGACGTAGAAATGGACGTGGACATGGACGTGGACGTGGACATGGACATGGACGTGGACGTGGACGTGGACATGGACGTGGACATGGACATGGAGGTGGACGTGGACGTGGACGTGGACGTGGACATGGACGTGGACGTGGACGTGGACGTAGAAATGGACGTGGACGTGGACGTGGACGTGGACATGGACGTGGACGTGGACATGGACGTGGACGTAGAAATGGACGTGGACGTGGACGTAGAAATGGACGTGGATGTGGACGTAGACGTGGACGTGGACGTGGACGTAGAAATGGACGTGGACATGGACGTGGACGTGGACGTAGAAATGGACGTGGACGTGGACGTGGACATGGACGTGGACATGGACATGGACGTGGACGTGGACGTAGAAATGGACGTGGACGTGGACGTGGACATGGACGTGGACGTAGACGTGGACGTGGACGTGGACGTAGACGTGGACGTGGACGTGGACGTGGACGTGGACGTGGACATGGACGTGGACGTGGACATGGACATAGACGTGGACGTGGACGTGGACATGGACGTGGACGTGGACGTGGACGTGGACATGGACGTGGACGTGGACGTGGACATGGACGTGGATGTGGACATGGACGTGGACGTCGAGATGGACGTGGACGTGGACATGGACATGGACGTAGAAATGGACGTGGACGTGGACGTAGACATGGACGTGGACGTAGACGTGGACGTGGACGTGGACGTGGACGTGGACGTGGACATGGACGTGGACATGGACGTGGACGTGGACGTGGACGTAGAAATGGACGTGGACGTGGACGTGGACGTGGACATGGACGTGGACATGGACGTGGACGTGGACGTGGACGTAGAAATGGACGTGGACGTAGAAATGGACGTGGATGTGGACGTAGACGTGGACGTGGACGTGGACGTAGAAATGGACGTGGACATGGACGTGGACGTGGACATGGACATGGACGTGGACGTGGACGTGGACATGGACGTGGACATGGACATGGAGGTGGACGTGGACGTGGACGTGGACGTGGACATGGACGTGGACGTGGACGTGGACGTGGACGTAGAAATGGACGTGGACGTGGACGTGGACGTGGACATGGACGTGGACGTGGACATGGACGTGGACGTAGAAATGGACGTGGACGTGGACGTGGACATGGACGTGGACGTAGACGTGGACGTGGACGTGGACGTAGACGTGGACGTGGACGTGGACGTGGACGTGGACGTGGACATGGACGTGGACGTGGACATGGACATGGACGTGGACGTGGACGTGGACGTAGAAATGGACGTGGACGTGGACGTGGACATGGACGTGGACATGGACATGGACGTGGACGTGGACGTAGAAATGGACGTGGACGTGGACGTGGACATGGACGTGGACGTAGACGTGGACGTGGACGTAGAAATGGACGTGGACGTGGACGTGGACGTGGACATGGACATGGACGTGGACGTGGACGTGGACATGGACATGGACATGGACGTGGAGGTGGATGTGGGCGTGGACGTGGACGTGGACATGGACGTGGACGTGGACGTGGACGTGGACGTAGACGTGGACGTGGACATGGACGTGGACTTGGACCTAAACGTGGACATGGACGTGGACATGGACGTCGACGTGGACGTGGACGTGGACGTGGACGTGGACGTGGACATGGACGTGGACGTGGACGTGGACGTGGACATGGACGTGGACGTGGACATGGACGTGGACATGGACGTGGACATGGACGTGGACGTGGACATGGACGTGGACGTGGACATGGACGTGGACGTGGACGTGGACGTGGACGTGGACGTGACATGGACGTGGACATGGACGTGGACTTGGACGTGGACGTGGACATGGACGTGGACGTGGACGTAGACGTGGACGTGGACGTGGACATGGACGTGGACGTGGACGTGGACATGGACGTGGACGTGGACGTGGACATGGACGTGGACGTGGACATGGACGTGGACGTGGACATGGACGTGGACGTGGACATGGACGTGGACGTGGACGTGGACGTGGACGTGGACGTGGACGTGGACGTGGACGTGGACGTGGACGTGGACGTGGACGTGGACATGGACGTGGACGTGGACTTGGACGTGGACGTGGACATGGACGTGGACGTGGACCTGGACGTGGACGTGGACGTGGACGTGGACGTGGACGTGGACGTGGACGTAGACATGGACGTGGACGTGGACGTGGACGTGGACCTGGACGTGGACGTGGACGTAGAGGTGGACATGGACGTGGACGTGGACGTGGACGTGGACGTGGACATGGACGTGGACGTGGACGTGGACATGGACGTGGAGGTGGACGTGGACGTGGACATGGACGTGGACGTGGACGTGGACGTGGACGTAGAAATGGACGTGGACGTGGACGTGGACATGGACGTGGACGTGGACGTAGAAATGGACGTGGACGTGGACGTGGACGTGGACGTGGACGTGGACGTGGACATGGACGTGGACGTGGACGTGGACGTGGACATGGACGTGGACGTGGACGTGGACGTAGTTATGGACGTGGACGTGGACGTAGTTATGGACGTGGAGGTGGACGTGGACGTGGACGTGGACGTGGACATGGACGTGGACGTGGACATGGACGTGGACGTGGACGCGGACGTGGACGTGGACGTGGACGTAGAAATGGACGTGGACGTGGACGTGGACATGGACGTGGACGTAGACGTGGACGTGGACATGGACGTGGACTTGGACGTGGACGTGGACATGGACGTGGACATGGACGTAGACGTGGACGTGGACGTGGACATGGACGTGGACGTGGACGTGGACATGGACGTGGACGTGGACATGGACGTGGACGTGGACGTGGACATGAACGTGGACATGGACGTGGACATGGACGTGGACGTGGACGTGGACGTAGAAATGGACGTGGACGTGGACGTGGACATGGACGTGGACATGGACGTGGACGTGGACGTGGACGTAGAAATGGACGTGGACGTGGACGTGGACATGGACGTGGACGTAGACGTGGACGTGGACGTGGACGTAGAAATGGACGTGGACGTGGACGTGGACCGTGGACATGGACATGGACGTGGACGTGGACGTGGACATGGACGTGGACATGGACATGGAGGTGGACGTGGACGTGGACGTGGACATGGACGTGGACGTGGACGTGGACGTGGACGTAGACGTGGACGTGGACATGGACGTGGACTTGGACCTGGACGTGGACATGGACGTGGACATGGACGTCGACGTGGACGTGGACGTGGACGTGGACGTGGACGTGGACGTGGACATGGACGTGGACGTGGACGGAGTGGACAGTGGACTGGACTGGACGTGGACGGGGACGTGGACATGGACGTGGACGTGGACGTGGACGACGTGGACATGGACGTGGACGTGGACGTGGACGTGAACGTGGACGTGGACGTGGACATGGACGTGGACTTGGACGTGGGACGTGGACGTGGACGTGGACGTGGACGTAGA